TGACACCTATTTAAATTTCTGACCTTGAGCAACATGGAGCAGTGCATTGGTGATGTTTTAAGCCACTACATTTGTGTTTGTTAAAACACTAACACACTGAGATGTTTGACTTCCTCCAGAAGAGTATGCTTTCATACAATAGATGGTTGATCCTTTTCCATGTCCACAGTCTCAAAATAATTGGTTCTTTCTGTTTCTCAGCAGCGCTAGCACTGAATGAACATGAAGTCTCTGAATACCTATCTGTGAGAAGAATGTGTGTCTTCTAGGGCCTACAGCCTAGGGTTTAGTACCATACAAAATGCAAAGATGCACTCCTTAAGGGTTGCAGGTCAATGGGAAAAAGTCAATTAAAGGGTTGCTAGTTCTCAAAGAGTCAGTGAGTCCTTGATCTCAAAGACTGTCAGTGGCTATCAGACATCTGATGCCTAGCTTTCATGAACAGGTTGCCCTTTTGTATGATTTGATGAAAGCGAACATCCTTGAGTCTGGTCAGACTCATTGGAAACACTCTTTTGACAATGAAAGGCTTAACCTCCTCTTCCTGTGTTCCCCTATTACTGGAAACATAAAAGGTAATAAGTTTGGGGATTCTAGCTCATCAGCTCAATGGGTATTTGAGATATTAGCCTACCACTGTTATTCTTAGCTTAAGTTTCTCAATGAAGCTCAAACATCTAGCAAGTGAATGAAAAGGAATGTGAATCTAGGCAGTCTCACTCCAAAGATCCTGCCCACCAATTATTTAGCATCAAACCACCAGAACATTGTATAGATTTTTTCTTAGAATGTGATCATAGAAAATATTATCTGAAATACTCTAACGCTGGGACTTTATACTCACACTTTCCAGCCCAATACCCATGGCTATTGCCAATTTGTTCTCTATAACTATAGCTTGTGTTTGAATAGACCATGTAAATAGCTCTTTAACACCTACTTCTTTTCCTCAGCATAGTTCTTTTTGGTATTACCAGTGTTTTGTTCCTTCTGATTGCTAGGTACTAATCCTTTGTGTTACACTTTGCTCATGTACACAGAGACATATGAAGTGTTCCATTTGGGCATCTAAAATAAAACTGCAGAACACATTCATGCAAAAGGTTTTGGGTAAATATAGCTTTCATTTCTCTAGAATAAACATCCAAGACTGGGCCAAGGCAGCCCTAATTTTCTCTGAGGATATGGATTCCCAGAATTCAGGGACAGTAGGCTTAGTCCACCGCCTTTGGAAGGAAATAATAATGCAAGATCTGTGCACGGAAGGGAACGTGTGTGAATCTTTCATCATGGTGGCCCCAGAGGCCAGTAAAGAAGGAATAAGCTTGCTGGAAAGCTATTGTATTTGTCATACATATATTTCCTTCCTCTGGGTAAAAGGGTTCTATTTGGTGTGAAATTCAGTTGCCGTCTTTCTTAAGTTTCCATAACCAGAGAATATAATGTCTCTCACTGGCAAACTTTAACATAGAATGTCACATGGGCCAAGAGCAGGACCAATTAACTCATAGCACCCAGGATGTTAGCTGGCATAGAGGAAACCATACACATCTATACTGGGGAAAGAAGTACTTTTTGAAAGCATCTTTTAAGTATACCAAACATTAGCTGGTTTACAGATTTTATATTTCCCTGACTCCCTCTGAATCTTTCTCAGTTACTGTTAGAAGAAAAGGCCTCATAACAAGAGATGTGGATTATATCAATGAGAAATAAAACGATTTTTTTACTCAAAAAAGGGCTATTAGACATAAGATACAAGGATCAGTCACCTTCTCATTAACCTCTCAGAATGAATCTATTTCAGGCTAGGCTTGAAAATGTTTTGCTTCTAAAAGCTACCATGCAGTCTAACAGTTAATTGTTATTCTTATCAAAGAATGACCCACATTAACATTTAGTTGGGGTCATTAGCATATTTATAAAAAAATGTGTGTGGGGGTAACGTGCATTCTTTTCTCTGCTGCTCTTTGTTATGAAAGAACATCCACAGAAAAAAGGAAGTAAATATTATTAACCAATATTTCAGACTCCCCCACAAATATCAAAATGCCTACACCCATCTCAGCACTAAACTGGCAGACTACAGATTGGATTTTAATTACATTTAGATTCAAGATAGTTTGAGACCACTATGGTTTCTTTCATGACATAGACAGCCTTAAACTAGCTAACAAAGGCCAGGGGCTGAGGACAGAGGTTGCAGAAGGATCTCTTCATTAGGTACATTGAGATTAATGGTTGGAGCAGAACACCACCTTTGATTATTCCATGAAACTGTGGGCTTATTTTTTTCTGTCTTGACAGCATGGTATGCATTCTAATACTGTGAAAAATGAAATACTTAGAAAGAATCTAAATGTGGGACATCCTTAACAGTTTGGTAGATACTAAAATGTTTTGAAGCAAATAAGTCTGTGTGTGTGTGTGTGTGTGTGTGTGTGTGTACAGATAATGGAGATATTAATATTCTTGTTTTAAAAAGCAGTCATTGCAAAGTTTATAGCATATTGATCAAAAATACATGGGTTTCCATGGCTTATTCATTTTTTGGGGGGAAAAATGTTCACTTTTATTTTGAAATAAAACAAAAGTAAATTAGATTTTTAGTTCTACATCTGACGCTGCTAGGATTGGAAAAGGAACAGAGTTCTAGAGCTCAAGAAGTGATATATGCAAGTATTGCACATTAATTTTCAAGGGGCAGAGGATATTTTTCAGGACTTGAATAGTTTGTTGCAAATCATATGATTATAAATGTTCACATGACTTCAAAAGGAAAACACTATCGTGTAGTTGTATTCTAGATGCAGAAAAAGCTGCATGAGGCATGGTAAGAACTAGACAGAAAGTGCTGTTCTAATTCCCTGGATTTTTAACTTGATTATTTGCAGGCAAGGGAAGAGGAGAATAATATATGGAAACTCCCAAATGTCAATTTTTGGAGTAAACAAAACATTTCACAATATTCAATTAGTGGTTAACAATTCTGGGCTATAACACAATAAAGAAATTAATACTTATTTTTTATGAAACCCTCATTTCCATCAATGTATTTTCTTAGATGGAAAATCTGGTTGAGTGATGTAGTTATAAAAGTATTTTTGCTGGAGAATCAGAGATAACAGCACTGTTACAAAGACCAAATTTTCCCTATGGATTCTAAGGGAAAATGCTGAGTGAGGTTGTCGGTCCACACTTGCACTACACCTTCCATTTTTCTCCAGTATTTTGCAGAAGAGATACTGGGCAAGACGGTTTCTCATTTCATGTACTTTGCTTGGATATATTTATACCAAACACAAAGGACACTAAAATACTAATACCCAAGTTAACCAGATATTGGGCTTAAATCTCACAGTAAAGTAGGTATTTCAGAGCAGCCAGCTTTCCTAAAGCCTCAGAAAAACTTAGCTTTTTTCTCTCCCTCCCATATTAATTTTCTGCATTGTAAGGAACATATCAGAAATAAACTTAGAGTTTAGGAAAATACCTGTGTTCTCAATAGCTTTTCCAGGATCAACAGAAACAGACTGTGATAGCCATGACAAAATTCAGAAGTTTACAACAGTTATTTAAAAATGTTAACAACTGGTAGCATATTTTGGCTGAAGAGACAGTAAAATGCTCAAAAGAGTTTAGGAAGCCATGCCTGATTTTTCATTGCAGTTGTTCAATATGCCCTTATTTACCTCTGGGAAGGTGGGTGTGTTACTGATCCTGTCTAAGCCTGCTCTCTCACTTATGAACTCTGTATGACTTCCACCTTTCCAAAGTTGTGATGCTCACACATGTTAGTATCATATCATCTGTAAACTGTTAATCCTAGCTGAGATTCAGTGTTTTATAAATGCCTGACACTGGTATTGCCCTCATTTACATTCACCAGGCATTGTTTCTGTTATTGAAATCTAGAGAGAAATGGCTAGTTTCTTTGGTCTATAGAGAGAAACAGAAGCAAAGGTGGATTCTCTTTGCTACTTTCTGCCCCATTCCTCCTTGCCCTGCCTGACCTAGAACAAGAGTATACCGCCAGTCAACTCCAATTCTCAGATAAGTGGAATTTGCAGCTGTAATCTGTCCAGTGCATGCATAGTTCAGAATAGAGATATTCTGATGAAGAAGAACATATTTTCATGGAATGGGACAGTTAGTGACTCAGGTATTTGATGGTGAAAATATTGAGCCATGAGAATAAAACAAAGCCATAAGACATAGTTAATTGGGCAGATCTCTAGATATATTTATTAGGTAGTTGTGTTAACCACCAGGCAGAGCAGGCACCATCAGGGTTAAGCTCCTACACTAACAAGAGAAGAACCATTACCTCTTTATGATTACTAAGTAATCTTCAAAGTTGATTTTCTTTTTATTTCAGCTAAGGGTATTTGGAAAAACTTAGAAGGCACCAACCTAAGTCACCTAGTTCTGACCCATTCTTTTCAGAGGACCTGGAGTAAACTGTGCTCATTATAATGCTACATTTTCTGCCCAGTCATTTGCACCTACCATGTTTTTTGTACATGTGCTCATGACCTCAAATTGAGCATAGGCAGGAATGTGTCCATCTTTACACATGATGAGTCTTTGCTATACAGATGGGTGAAGTGTCCCCAGTGAAAGCCTCCCTCGCTCTCTCTGTCTAGGGTGAATACTGCATTAATACTTACTTCCAGTGCCCTGCTTACCTGTTGTAAGTAATGAACTTTTCTTTACCCCTTTATCTCCCAGCTGTGCATATTGCTTTGTGCTCACCAAGAGGTGAACGGAGTGTGTTCTGTCGTAAGACACTGTAAGCCTCTAGTGGTCTTTCTTTGGACTCTACCTAGTCTTGCTTACCTTTCACTGAGGTTGAAACAAATGATAGTTAACACAGGTCATTTATTATGTGTTTATAGTTTACTTTTTGGGGAGAAGGTTCTTGAAATAGTTGACATGAACCATGCTTTTATGTTTTTAGGGTTCCCAGATTATCGAGGACACCTAGAAATAATCCTTACCTGGTCGTATTTTAGCATAATACCCATAGCAGCACTCGTGATTGGGCCGTGCCTCTTGTATTCTGCCACCACAACAAACGCCCGTTGAATTCGGAAGGAATGGGATATACTTTTCGTCACAACAGTGGTATCCAGGCTGAGGGTCATAGAGAGCTCCACTACAACAAACCTGGAAGTTCAGAATCAGTTTTCAAAAGATACCAGTCTAATTAAGAGTGCTGTATCTCATGCAATATAATCATTGCTCATAGATTCTTGATCTGAGGTCACCTTATTCACAATTCACAGCTTTAAAATGTATTTTGCAGCATTATTCAAATTCTAGAAATGTTATTTGATACAATGCAGCTTGTTTTTTTGCCTTCAGACACACTTTGTTCTCTACCGTGATACCCTATAAATAAGAATTATCTTTGAATCTCAGTGATTCCTATGTAAAGATGTTTAGAATTGGTAATGAACTATTTTGTTCATATATGTGTCTTTCTTTTAATGATTGTTTATTTGAAAACAGAACATGTGTGGAAAATGTCTCTCACTGATCCTTTTTTTAATACATTGAATTTTCCTTATAATTTTTATGATTACTTATTTATGAACCAATCTTCAGACAAAGTAATCTGAGCAGTGGCC